ACAGCAGGTGACGGAATTTGAATTCAATAAAATTCTGGATTTAAGAGTCTAATGATCACGACAAATCCATTGCTGACTGTCAGGAAAAGCCCATCTGGTTCACTAATGTCCTTTAGCAAAAGTAACTGCCATCCTCACCTAGTCTGGCCTACTTTGACTCTAGACCACAGCAATGTAGTTAACTTTTTACTGACCTCTGGGGAATTAGGGATGGCAATAAATGCTGGACTAGCTAGCAACGGCTTCACCCTGGAAATTAATAAAAAAACATGTTGATAATTACCAGGGAGTCTAGAACCAGGAAGCTTATTCTAAGAATACAGGGTAGGCCATTTATAACTGAGATTAGGAGAAATTCCTTCAGCCAGAGAGTGGTGAGCCTGTGGAATTCTCTGCCACAGAAAATGCTTGAGGGCAAAACATTGGCTGTTATCACGAAGGAACTAAAATATACTTCTTAGGACTAACAGGATCAAAGGGTTGGGGGAGAAAACAAGAACAGGATAAGAGTTGGATGATTAGTCATGATCATAGTGAATGGCAGACAAGGATCAATGTGCCAAATGGCCCACCCCTGCCCCCATTTTCAATGTTTTTATCATTAGCTGCTTCCACTAAAGTGGAATTTTGTCAGCCTTTCAGTAGGAAACCCAAATTGTGCAAATTAGGCCAGCCAAGAGCAGCTCTGAATCTTGTGATAACACAGCGTGAAGCTGGAGGAACACAGCAGGTCAGGCAGCATCAGAGGAGCAGGAAAACTGACGTTTCGGGGCGGGACCCTTTTTCCGACCCGAAACGTCAGCTTTTCTGCTCCTCTGATGCTGCCTGGCCTGTTGTGTTCCTCCAGCTTCACACTGCGTTATCTCTGACTCCAGCATCGGCAGTTCTCACTATCTCTGAATCTTGTGGACCTGTTTGGATAGCTTAGATTTGGAGAAGTGAAGTATCCTTTTGGGTCTGGTCTCAGGATATGATTGGTAGATGTTTGGTGCTTTTGAGGTGGGAAAGATGCATTTTGTAGAGGCCTTTAGAAGTCCTACTCTTTAAATCTTTGAAAATGAAAGTTTTCAAAAAGGATTGCTTCCACTTCATTCTGGCTGTTGATGTATGCCTGAGGATTTCCATTACTGGACTACTTCAGTATGACTGATTCCACAATTCCACATGATCACATTAGGATGTCTTCCATTTGTTTGATTGACAGATGTGGTTACAGATGATTTGATGTGGGACTGTGAAATTCATTGCTTGTTATTGGAGAACCTGAATGTTAGTCACAAAGTATTTTTATTTATTTATTGTCACGTGAATTGTCATTGTATTTGTAACACTACATGTAACAAAAGTGTTGAACAATGTTGCCACTCTCCAGCATCATCTTAAAACGCAGAAATAAAGCATAAAGGTACAGAAATAAACTATAAAGTTAGAAAAATAAAGAAATAAAGTTAAAAGTTCAAATTGAAAGAATTAACATATAGAAATTTTTTTTTTTTATGAGTGACAGTGCGGTTTTTCAACTTGATCAAATCTGCTGCAGACATTTGGAAATTTATGTTACCGAACCCTGTCTATCTTATCTCTCCATCAGTCCTGAGATCAGCCTGTGGTGGATACTAGATGATTTGGCATAGTTGGCATAAAAGAAAAGTCTGGTATATAGTGTACATCAGTTGCATGAGTTGGGAGGGGGTGTGAAGATGGGAGGAATACTATTTGTACTTTTAAAAATTAAACTTCAGTACAGTTCTGTAACCCTGGGAAAGCCTTCCATGCAGTCCACCTGCATATCTCACAGCCTCTAATCTTGTTATGGAGTCACTTGGCCTGTTGCCCAGGAAACCCCAAAATTCAGAACAAAAATCTGATCTCTCAAGCCATCATCTCTTGGATCATGGATCAGGAGATGTCTTGACTTTGCACTCTTGATCTTGGAGTGAAAATCCAGGCCCAATTTTGAGAGGAGTTGAAATAAAGCAGGAAGATTCAGCTGTCTTGCACTGGAAGCAGGATCTCCAGTAATACAATCACCATGAAGGACAGTTTGGGGTTAGAGATTACTAGACTGTCAAAGAAAAAGATTGAAGTAAACTCTTTGGAGCTAAGAATTATTTTTTGATTTATTCTAAAATGACTGAACACTACTTAAGGAACATGTGAAGGAAGTTCATAATATGTTACTATTGCTTGAGAGCTGGGTTCTAAAGTGAGTGAATAAAACATAGCTTTAAGTTTGGTTTTTTTTCTGGTTTCATTTCTGAGTTCTGTAAATGCAAGTAGGGGACCTGGGAATCTGTTTCTGGATACACATTTCAATGAGTTGGTTAAACCCTTGAGGGGAACAGTTCAGTGCATGAGGGAAAAAATGGGGAGAGTGAAAAATATAGTTGCTGATGTCTATCAATAGGAATTCAGTACACTAAATGCTAGCTATCCTTGGGGGATTGGGGCATGGACTTCCCATGGGCAACGAGAAATGTGGATACTGCTCCCATGTACTGTGCCACAAAAGATTCCATGATCAGAACAGATGAATGAATGAGAAAAACGGTCTGGGCTGGACCTTGCAAGTATGTGGATCCATGGGTAGGGAATTAGTGGAAAACGAGAAGTGAGTGTATCAAAGAAGGAAGGAAACATCCAGAAGTAATTGGGCAGTGTGCCTGCTCATCCAGAGAGCAAGGGTCAAAACAGCAGAACAGTTAGGGGTGGGGAAAATAATCCTTAATTGCTTAGAAGGGAACTCCAGACGAGAAAACAGTGGAAGACATGAGCTTAAAGAACCCATGTTAAATAAAAAGTTGACTTTCCTGCTTTCCTGCTCCTTTCCTACTCCTCTGATGCTGCTTGGCCTGCTGTGTTCATCCAGCTCTACACCTTGTTATCTCAGATTCTCCAGCATCTGCAGTTCCTACTATCTCTTAAATTAAAAATTAGCTGTTTGTTTAAGTGTCTTAGAAATAGAGATCAACTAAAGAAAATTACATTGATAGATGGCAACTGAACAAGGAACTTTAAAGACATGGTGACTCTAGATTTGAGTGTCTGTAAGTTAGTTGTTGAAGGTAAAAGGGCTTGAATCTATAATTCTGATATTTCTAATAAGACTCTTTCAAATAATTCTTGCATAGTCATAGTTTGTGATTTTTTTTGTTCTGGGTAATAAACTTTTAGGTTTTCTTTTTAAAAGGTACATTGGCAGTCTCTTATGAATATTTTCAATAACTGACTACTGTTGTAAACAAAATAGAACCTATGATCAATTAAACCAGGACTAATTCTGGGATCTGCCTTGTTCAGGATCGGTGCTGGGACCCTTGCTGTTTGTTATGTACATTAGGAACTTGGATGTGAATGTAGAAGGTATAATTAGTAAGTTTACAGATACATGAACATTGATGGTGTTGTTGATTGTGAGAAGGATGGTCTCAGGCATCTGAGGCATTTTGGAAGGTCTAATAAGGGGAAGGATACGCACAATAAATGGTAGGTCTTGAGGGAGTACTGAGGAAAACAGTGACCTTGGTGTACAAGTCCATAGATGCCTGAAGGTGTTAGCTAGGATGGTGAAGAAGGGCATATGGGATACTTACCTTCATTAGCCAGACCATAGAATATAAGAGCAAAGAAGTCTTCTTGCACCTTTATAAAACATTGGTTAGGCCACTGATGGAATCCTCTGTGCAGTTCTGGTTACCACACTATCGGAAGGATGATTGAGAGATACAAGATTATGAGAGGCACAGACAGATTAGGTCTTGGGACTCTCTTTCCCATGGCAGACATGTCTAAGACCAGACAGAATAAGTTTAAGGTGAGGAGCAGGTGGTTTAGAGGGGATCTGAGGAAACTCTTGTTCATCCAAAGGATGGTAGAAATGTGGAATGCATGGCCTGAGAGAGTGGTGGAGGCAGCACATTTAAGATGCATCTGGATGTGCACTTAAAATGCCAGGGCACAGTAGGCTATGGACCAAGCACAGATAAATGAGATTAGTCTAGCTTGATGTTTATTGGTTGGCATACACATGGTGGGCCGAAGGGCCTGTTTCTATCCTGTATGATGACTCTATTACTCTGCAACCATTAGCTTGGATTATAATGTAACAAAAAGTGTACCCATGAATCAGCTTTCTTTTAGTGGTAGTAAAAATAAATAGGGAAAAGTTCCTGTGGTTAAAAGTATACGTTGCCAATAAAGGTAGTGTTTAGTCAATGAAACATTTCGTATTTTGTTATGTAAACAATTTAAAGACATGAAATCTTATTGGGTCAATTTTTCAGCTATTAAATGAAAGTTCAAATTTCTCTAAAAAAAATTATTAACCTCTTCATGGGTAATAACAAAAGTTGTAGTCCTGCTGAACATTTCTGTTGAGATTACTTGGGGATTCTCCAGACTGACTGTTAACATTAACAGAAATTCTAGGTAGACACATAAACAAGCTTTCCACTAACCTTCCACTGAAGTTAGGCTAGCAATTAAGACAATTCCAGAAGAAACTTCCAATGCTGACATCAAATGTTTGGTAGAATATACATGCATTGCCAGAAGTTTGTAGTGCTGTCTGGAGAGCCAGTGCAGATTTGAAGAGTTGCCCAGCTCAAAAACATTAAGAAGTATCATTATTTGGCTAATTTGGTCCAAGGAAGTGTACATCAATGTACATGCATTGATAAAATTAAAATTGAAAGCAAAATTTACTGCGTTATTCAGACATAACTGAAAATTGTTATCTAAATGTAATCAATAGTCTATTCAATATAGAGTCATGAATCATACAGCATGAAAACAGACACTTCAGTCCAACCAGTCCATGCCAAACATAATCCCAAATATAATTTTTATATATTCAGAAATTGGAGTAGAGAAAGCCCATCAGCTCTTTAATCTCAACAAAAATGAAAATAATATAAAATGAATGGTAAAACTATGGTTCTAAATTAACCAAAATTGCTATAATTGTCAATTCAGATCTGCAACTGCTTGTCTATACTCACTGTTTTCCTCCGTGCTTCCTTCAAAGACAGGATTCTCTTGGCTTTGCCCATCTGCACAGATGGATGCGGCTGAAGCAACATTGTATCCCAAAGTTGCCATTTCAATCTTAAATTGGTCTGTATCTGATGATGCATGCTTTGGTTGCCCTGCTGCAGTGGAACTGCTGTCCTTTCCAGTCTCATTTTGTAATCTGCAAGACCTGCGTACCTGTAAAGCAGCTCTGTGTTTTGATGCTCCAAAACACCTTAAAAGAATAGAACAAAAAAATTCAGCCAGTTTTTGAAAGATAGGAAATGCTGAAAACCACAGAGTTCCTAAAATTTCAGAGAAACATGGACTGTAAGGTATAAAGCAATGAATGGATTGGTTAAAAATCATATCCCGCAACCTATTTAGTTTCAATAGCCATAGCAAAAATATGATAGAGCCAAGTAAAAATTAGCAAATTAACATGTCTAAGTGTCTGCGGGTCTGCCTCCAGCTCAATGATTCTGAGCTCAAGCCGCAATATTCAGGAATGTTGGAATACATGCTGCAACCATGAAATAGCACTTGTCCTGCCTCCTTAATGTTTTAGTGAACGACTTAATAATTTTATTTAATTACTTATTTCTTCTTTTTATATGTTTTATTGACCTTCAGTTCTTATTCTATTTTAAGCCTTAGTAATACAATGCACCTTAATCACTTCCTAGATACTCACTAAACAGCTAGTTTCTTCCCCTGCAGTAGGGTAAGAACCTCCTACAGAGTGAAAAAATAAGTAAATGCGAAGGAGTACTTCATTCTCCTTCTTCCTTAACTTGTATTGAGATGCTATTTATATATTCCGAGTCAGATAAGTCACAGGTACAGGAAAGCTGGTCAAAGTTGGTTTCCTTCATTAACTAACATAAGCTGCTCTCAACTAGAGAATTTATTTTTTGCCTTGTTTCAGTCTGAATGAAATTTAGAATTTAAACAGTAAATTGCTGTTAAATAGTTAAATGTGAAAGACAACTAAAATTAGAATTTTAGAAATAGATTAAGATTTCCCTTACCCAACTCCTAGCACTCTGATCAGTTGTGTTCAGTATTCTCTTGTGATCACAGAATCATAGAACAGTACAAGACAGGAGGTTGTTATTTGGCCATCAGGCAGAATCTTTGCTTTTGGAGACTATTTCACTCAAAACAGGTCAGGGGTCACTGACGAGCATCTCATGGTCTCAGTCAATTGAAGATGAAAAAGACAGAAGCAAGCTCCATGCAGAAATGAACTCCTCTGCTGAAAGATAACTTTACTGAACTGGGAGTTGGGGATTTAGAAGTCAAGAGCATTTGGATGCCTGTGAACTCAGAGAAATTTGAGCAATTAGTAAGCAGCTAAGTGTTGGAGTCAGGGCTCTGGAAAAGTCCTGGTATCCATGAGGAATCAGAAGATGCCGTGTGGCACCAGTAGTTCAGTGCAGCAGAAAGTGAGGGTTGAAAGCTCATGAATAGTAAATGCTTTGTGTAACTTAGCCAGATTAGAGCTCAGTAAACAACTTATGGACATTACTGGCATTGTAAAGTTCAGCTGCAACTGCCAAGGCACAGCAGAGAGAAAGGATTGAAGAATGTTGAAATCTCTTTGGATGAGTGAGTATCAAGGTTATAAAAAACCAAACACTGTACACAAATATACACAGTATTATGTTAATACTATCTCTTTGTATGTGTTATGGTTTTTGATTCATCCTGTTTCTCTTCTACCCAATCTTGGAGGACATTGATCATCAGAGATGTTCACAGGTACATCATGTGCCTGGAGCACTCAGGATGCTAGTCTCTGCTGCCTTCTGAGTTGAACATAATCTCTGGGAAGCAACCTTAAATGAGATGCATGCATTTGGGTCTGCCTCAGCATTGTACAGGGCTCTATGTCTCTGCAGTAGATGAATGCCCTTTGCCCTCTGCTGTTTGAGGAAAATATGTATAATTCCATATTGATGCTCTACTAATAATTAAATAGGAAATAATTGGAACAAAGCTCACAATAAAGTTTTCATTGAATTTTCTTTCATTCATTTATGAGAAGGCAGCTCAGTGATTAGCACTGATGCCTCACAGTGCCAGGGACCCGGGTTTGATTCCAGCCAGGGGTGACTGTCTGTGTGGAGTTTGCACGTTCTCCACATGTCTGTCTGGGTTTCTACCAGGTGCTCCAGTTTCCTCCCACAGTCCAAAGATGTGCAGGCTGGGTGGATTGCCCATGCTAAATTGTCCGTAGTATCTAGGGATGTACAGGCTAGATGGATTAGTCATGGTATATGCAGGGTTGTGAGGATAGGGTGGGTCTGGGTGGGATGCTTTTTGGAGGGTCGGTGCAGACTTGATGGGCCAAATGGCTTCTATCTGCATTGCAAGGATTCTAACTTCGAGCAAGTTTAAAATGGGAGCTTAGTTGGCTGTGCTAGCACTTATTGCCCATTGCCTAGCTCCCAGTAAGAAGGAAGTGTTGGGCTACTTTCTTGAACAGTTCAGACCATTTGTTGTAGGTACACCCACACACTGGATGCCAAATGAAGGAGCATAAACTCTAAATGTTAAAAATCAAACATTCTTTTCAAGGCAGGAGTATCTCTCTGCCACAGCTAGCTCCTAGCTCTGAGTATCCACATATGTTAGTCCAAAGTTATTTTTTTCTTAAATCCAGCCATTATTAAGTACTTTTGGGCTTGACTACCACATTTCACAAGTGCCCTGACTTCTTCAGCAGTTATATTATCAGATTCACCTCCCTTTGCATCTATGTCAGACTCCCCTTGTTCCTTGTCTGAGGATGGTCCATATACCCCTCCGCCAAGTTGTTACCCTGTTGTTGAACAAGATAATGATTATTTGCTGTCTACAATCTTGGAGACTACTGGAATACTCCTCCAGATTGGTCCAAGCAACTTCAGTAGACCAAAGGGAGTACAACAAAGGTTTACCAGGCTGTTTCAGGAATGGCAAGACTGACATATGAAGAGAAACTGGAACGCTTAGGACTCTACTCACTGGAGTTCAGAAGAATCTCGAGAAAGCTATAAAATTCTAACAGGGCTGACACAGTAAACGTAGAAAGGATGTTCACGATGATCGCAGAGTCCAGAATCAGGGGTCACAGTCTACAGATATGGATAGGCCACTTGGGACTGAGATGAGAAATTTCTTCACCCAGAGAAGCCTGTGAAATTCTCTGCCACAGAAAGCAGTTGGAGCCAAAACATTGAATGCTTTCAAGGCGGAGTCAGATATAGTTTTTCCACATAAATCTATTACTGACACAAAGGATCAGTCTGTGGTTCTCTGAACAGTTCTGCCAGTCAAATATCAGCAAATTTGGCAGGCTAACAATGTACTTCTATATTGTTTAACTTACAACATAGAAAAGTAAGTTTTGTATAGAAGCTCTGCACATTTGAAACAATAAAACTGATCCTCTCAATCCAGTAGAATTGGATACTTTTACAAACCAAATTAAATATGTTCCATTGAGAAAGTCTACAAGGACATAATTATTTTAAACGCCAATAGGTTTCAGGTGGCATGAATACAAAATGAACTGGCAGGCCTAAGCACAGGATCTGTTAGCTCCCGGCCAGCAGCTGGTCAGCCACAGCTCTGAAATGAGCAAAAGGTGTTAACTTGCAAGTGAACAGAAATTTGGAAAGCCACAGCCTAGTAGTCAGCGCCAAAAGGTGATTGTTGTGCAGGATTTTGGGAGGGGCTTGTGAGAAAGAAGGAAAGACAGTTTGAGTGTCATGAGTGACAGTTTCATGACTTTCCAACTGAAAGACCTAGCCCAGCACTCCAAAAATCTTAATAGCCCAACAGTGTACATAAAATGGTTTTAATAATGTGGCTCTTCAGTATAGTGCAAAACACTATAAACACCAGCATACGAGAAGCAACTTAACATATATATGTAATCAAATCTTAAGCATCATATAAGACTTGCAACATACATTCAAGAAGTTTGTGAAATACTTTGCAAATGCTGCTTGATTCCTGCCAATTTTTGTCCATACACTCACCTCCACTTTGTACATGAGGAAAGATAGGATGTCTGGCTTAGTTGCCAACCACTTCCTCAATACGGACATACAATTTTGAAGTCATCCTGTATCCCAAACTGCTAATTGATTTCATTTACTTGGGCATATTCCTCCCACTCTTTCCTCCTCTTGCACAGCATTAACATTTTGCAACTAAGTCAGCAGCTGGGCAACAAGAATCCTTATGAACACTGACAATGGATTAAGAACTCATGTTTGTTGGCAATTAGAACAGGGAACTCCTTCGTTCAATGAAATTTGCTGCTTCAGTGTCAATCATTGGCGCTTTTGTGAGATCCCCAATTGTGTTGAGTGCAGCTGCTTGCGTTGACAGTGAGAAAAGCAGCTGCCAATGATTTTGTGTTTAGATGCAAGTGCCACAGTTGTCAACTATCATGGAAACTTTGTTGTCTTGCAATGCCAGGGTGCCAGGGTTCAAAAAGAGACTAATACTCATGCTTGCCTTTCTATTGTTATGTCATGCTACAGGGAGAATAATGCCAATTTAAAAAAGAGAAGGCCTTTCTAAAATGAAGAGTTCTCAATCGCCAGTAGTTTTCCTTTGTACCAGCCAGCCAAAAAAGAGCCAAGTGCAGTAATAAAGTATTTAAACTGGTAAGGTGGGGTAAGAAAAAGAGAGCAAAAATTCTTTGTTATGGTTTTGGTCCACTCAATTGTACTTCATATGCATATTTAACTGTGAAGATCTGAAGAGTCTTTGGACTCAAATCTACATTCCTCTCCACAGATCTGCCTGACCAACAGAGCTTTTCCAAGAGCACTTGGTGTTTTTATTTCAGATCCCCAACATTTGTTGAACTTTGCTTTTATTTGAGCAGTTAGAGGTGTTAAGTATGCGGTGGGATTGTATCTTAATGAGATGAGATCTACCAAGTAAACTAACTGTATTGAGTAGGGCAATTTAAGATGTTTCACTGTCTATTCACACGTACACTTTGGCTACTGCTTCAGATCCAGGTTGATCACTTCCATTCCTGTTGATTATTTGTACTCTCTTTCTACCACCCCTCTTTCTCCACCCTTCCTACACTCTTCTCTTCATTGTTTTGATTCCTTTCATTTCTTCCCCTTGAGTACTCTGCCTTTTAAAATCTTTATCCTATTGTTCACCCTTCCTCAACCTTCCTGCACAGCTTACACCGTTGCTTGGCTCCCTCTAAAA